GTGGCGGTGGAGGGGGTTTGTCTTCCCTCCCCACCCCCCGCCGTCAGCATCTCCATCCCCCCCACGGACCCGCACCTCCTGAGGGGCCAGACCCGTTGCCCGCTCCCACCATGAACGGGAGCAAGAGCCAGGCTTCTTTTACTTAAAAAAAAAAATAATAAAATTAAAAAAAAATTAAAAAAAAAATAAAGTCCATTTTATTCCAGAAAAACAAAACGTGCCGATTTCCACCCCCCACGCCGAACACACCTGGGGCTGCAGTTAAAAATTCCGGACGTTTCCCCTTTCCCGGAGGCTGCGGTGCCCCCCGCCCGGCACAGGGCACCTGCTGCTCGGGAATGGCCTCTCTGCAGGAGCCACCATGAGAAAAGGCAGGGCTCTTGTCCGGGGTCTGGGGGGTGCAGCCCTCACCTCCCCCTCCCACTGCAGCCCAGACACCCCACAGAGGGTCGCAGCCCACGGGCTGTCTCCCTCCCTGCTTCCGAAAGGATCAACTCCACGCCAGACGCGTGGGGTGTGGGACAGGGTCACCAGGGTTCAGGGCTGGGTCCCCGGCACCTCCAGCACTTTCGTTATGGGCAAAGAGGGCTTACGGCTGCAAAGAGGTCCAAGAGTTGAAATCCCTCCTTCCCAAAAATTCACCAGGTTTGCCTCCCTGTGGGAATGCCCTCTGGCAGCTGCCCAGGAAAGGAGGATGCTGTCGGGCCAGGAACCAGCACCACTGGCCTTTTGAACTACAGCTGATGGATGGAACGGACTTTGCTTGAAAAAACAACTGCTGGGAAGAGGGGAGAGCTGATCCGGCAGAGACAAGGTGTAACCAGGTGGGGGGGTGCCAATGAGATCATCGGCCTAACCAAAAAAAAAAAAACCCAACAAAATAAAAACCCCAAAACTGAGAGAAGCAGCATTGCTCATGAGGCTGTTTGGCATGATGAGCTCCCCAGCCCACCCACGACGGAGGAGGCACATTCAGCGTGGGGCACCCTGGTGCTGCTGCGGAGGGGAGGGCTCCCTGGGCTCCTCGTGGGGCTCAGCCACAGCGTGTCCCCCTCGCCATACCCCACCGTGGGTGGCAGCGCCCTGACCAGCCTAGGGGACAGCCCCGCTGCCTTCCCATCTGTGCTTTGGCTCTGGGGATGGGCTGCCCCACTTCAGCTCCGTTGGGGCAACCCACCGGCACCGCCACTCGGCCCCCACCAAATGAAAAGGCAACAAAACAAAACCCACCACAGCACAAATGGAAAGGGGGCCGCGGGGCACCGGCCCGAGGCCACCAAGAGGGAGCGAGCCCCCGCACGCTACAGCTCCGACTGCGAGCGGGAGATGCGCGGGCCCTTGCGGATCTCCTTCCGCTTCTCCTCCTTCTTCCTCCGCTTCTCCTCCTCCCGCAGCGCCTTCTGGAAGGTGTCGGCACTGGGGAAAAACTGCGGGGTGACAGCAGGGGGTCAGCACAGAGGAGCCCCCGCAGCCTTCCAGACGCACAACTCCCCCCCAAGCCCACTGAAGCCATCATGAAAGCAGCCCAGGGAGCTTGAGGTTGGACGTGGCACAAGGCGAACGGGGTCCCGATGCTCCCATGGGGCCACAGGAGCAGGGAGATGGCACCAGGCACCCAAACCCAACCGCAGCCCAGCTGGAGAATTCGATGGACACATTTTGGTCCGGCTTTCTCTGTGCTGGGGGGGGGGTTTGGCCATTTCTCACCAGGCCACCCGTTCCCTTCCCCAGCTGGCTGCCTGGAGCTGCAAGAGAGGTGGGGAAACCCTCAGGGTGAGGTGGCCACACTGCCATCTTACCTCAGAGTGGTCTGTTTTAAAGGGGTTGCGGTAATCGGGTGATTTCTCGCTGATTCCCAGCTCCTGAGCCATCTGCGGAGCAAAGCGGAGGCTGTGTCCGGGAGCGGCACCTCCCACCCTACACCCCCCTTTCACCAGTGTCCCCTCCTCCCCACCAGCCCCCCCCATGCTCTTCCCCCATCCCTTAGCCCAAGGACAACACTCAGCCATGGGGGAAAACCCTCAGCCATGGGGTACGCTCCCCCTGCCCTCCTTGTACCCCCAAAACCTCACCCCCCAGCCCCAGCAGCAGAGAGGGGACGCAGCAGTGTGGGACCAGGAGCCTTACCAGCCCCAGGACCTGGGAGTGAGGTCCCTGCTCGAAGACACCCGTCAGGTTGCAGAAGCCGATGCCCCAGCGGATGAGGCTGTTCCAGTTGGAGTTGCGGTCGAAGTAGTGGTGCACGATCTTGGGGAAGCGCAGGACGACGTCCCCGAAGAAGGCGGTGTTCTCTACCACGTGGGAGTACGCTGTGGGGACAGCCACCCACCCTGTCGGCACACTGGTACGCACAGCGGTCCCACGTCCCATCTCACCACTGCCTACAGCCCCACCGGGAGGCTGGGAGCAAATGAGTAGGCTCCCCAGTATGAACTGGTCAGAGAGGCAGCAACAGCGTCCCCGACAGACAGGGAGCAGCCCAGGTCTGGTCTTGGTACATGAGGGTTTTGCACCTACCCCAGCACAGGTCCCAGGAGGAACCTCAGCAATGCGCCAGAGCACTGGAAAAGGGAGAGGGGTACGGACCAGAGCAGACCTACCATCCTTTATCTTCTCGTCCTGAGGGAAAGGCCCGTTAGGAGGCACGTCAGCAGCGATGAGCACAGCCCGGGAGTCCTCCAGCACCTGCCAGAGCCCTCGGTTACTGCCCCGTCCTGCCAGCCCTTCCCTGTACCCCAGGGGTGCTGCCCCACTTTGAAGCCCCACAGCATCCTCCCTTCAGGTCTTAAATCCCACCTGCTTGCTCAGCTCTTCTCTTTGATCCCACACAGGCACTCCAGCCCTCCCTGCTTCTGCCCACCCTCCCCAGCCCCACAGCACACTGAGCCCGGAGGGCAGCCCGTGCTGTGACTCACTTTGAAGAGTCCCTTGAGCATGATGTCGATGATTTTGTACTGCTGGTTGACATCGTTGAGCTCGATCAGGTTCTTCAGTGCGTTCATCTGGTCCTTACGCTTCACCTCAAACAGCTTCTTATCTGCACCACCGTCAAGGGTGCCACCGGCACATTCCCACCATGCTCCCGCTCTCCCCCGCCACCATCCCAGCCCCCCCAGTTCTCCATGGGGTGCCTGAGGGCCAGGGGACAGCGTCTGAGTCAGGACAAGATGCATGTTTCCAGTAAGCCCCTTTGCTCGGACACCCCAGCAGGGCACTTAACAACACAGGGGGCTTGTGGGGAGATGTCTACTTGCCAGCCTGTGTTCTGGCTGACACGCTGGATGATGAGCGTGAACTCCCACCTTCCCCATATCTGTCTCCACGAGCACACGTATTAAATACCTTTTAATAATTTGCCTGCTTGCCAGGAGACGCTGCCGTGTGCTAGGAAGGGCTGGCATTAGCCCACCTCCTCCTTGGTGACTAACGCCCGTGGCACAGAGGAGACTGGGTGCTGCAAGCCCAGCCAGTGACCCTGAAGCACTGAGACCTGCAGACGTGCTCTGCAGCCTGGCTGGCCACACCATTCCCAGAGTGGACCAGGAGATGTGCTCAGCGCCCAAGCATGCTGGAGCAGAAAAGAAAAGCACCGTGCTTGGTAGAACACCACACACTGCTGGAAAACCCACCTCTGCTCCTGCAACTGAGCCAGGCACTTGGATAGCAAACCCAGGAGCACGACTAGAGCCCTTCTACAGAAGAGCAAAAAGGCAACTGCCCAGCAGTTCTGGGTCCTCTCTCTTCCATGCCCCTGTGCCCTTTCCTGTGGTCTTTGACCACCACGTATGCAAGCTCCCTCCAGTCTCAGCGGGCACAAGCACATACACGGGACGTGAGGGTCAGGCTGCAGAGAAGGATACAGATTTCCAAGCCAGAGTCCACCCTCTGTTTTTCCAGGTCTGCAAAGCTGCTCTGGGACAGCAGCAGCGCCAGCAGAAAGGGGCAGACGAAGAGAAAATCCATGTCGGCCACTGCAGCCTGGATCAAAAAGGACCAACAAAACCAGTGACCAGTGAGGAGACTTACCAAAAGGAGACATCACAGGAGCCTCTCAGGGCTGATGGCACATCACCCTCAGCACCAGGGTCCTTGCCCACCTCTCCCTTGTCCCCACGAGGGGTTTGAGGGAGACAGTGGCCAGAACAGGACCACAGGGCGATGCTGCAGCTGGCCCACTCTCCCCTGTGAGGGAACCCCTGGTCTCCCCCTCCTCTCTGCCTGTCTCCGCTGCCGGGTGGGCACCAGCTGGGCCCCCAGGGATCTGAATGAGCACTGACCCAGCAGAAAAATTAAATCCTACCCCTTCTCCCAAAAATAACAGCTACCTTTCTGCTGGGTTTGCGAGTCAGAGGAGCCCAGCGACCAAACCAGCAGGGCCAAAGGGACGAGGAGAACTGCCAAGGGACTGAAGTCCACCTCTCCTTCAAGCACCAGGCTTGACCAGCTCAGCCATCTCACTTCTCCTCTTGGGGTGCTGGTACCTGGACCCTTCCCCTTGCTATAAGCTGGGCGCCAGTTGTGGGCCCCACACCAAAAAGCAGCATTTGAGTGGCCTGGTGGTAACTCCCCTGCGTTTGCCCCAGACATGTCCCACCCCAGATGGAGCCTGAGGCTCTGCAGGGATGTGGTCGGGCAGAGCTGTTCCTGGCCACAAGGGTCCCTCAGACAGAGCCAAGGTGCAGAAGAGAGGCTAGAGGAGAAGGTCTTTGAGAGCAAGGATCCTGGTCCCTGGAGCAGCCTAGACCTCAAAAAGGAGAGCAGTACCTCGGCCTCCAGATGGCAGGACTCGAGGCCGCCTGTCCGCAGGGACGAGGTTTCTGTGGAGCCCAGCAGCGGCCACCGGCAATTACGGAAGCAGCAGCAGCTCCTTCACAGGCATCCCCTGAGCTTCCTTTCCTGCTCCCAAAGGAAAGGCAGATGTGTAAGGCCACCAGAGCTGCCCTCACCTTGCCATCCTGCTCCCCTCCTGAGCCTGAGCTCACCCGCCCAGCCCAGCCTCTCCCTGCGAAACAAGTACCTTCTTCACACCAAATATAAGGTGGGTTTTTTTTTCCCTTGTTGTTTTTCTTTTTTTTCAACAAATGCAATTTGTTCAGCCTCAGGCAGAGCAGGCAGCACCGCCAGCTCTCCCAGCCCTGCAGCAGCTCCCACCACACGCCTCCCACCATGAGGGGCTGAGCCAAGGCCCTTGCACCCCGGGCACGGGCAGGGAAATGGCGTCAGGAGAACACGAGACACCCTCTGGGTTATTTCGCTGTTGTGCCCTGCAGAAGGCAGAACCCCTGGAAGGGAACGGGTCAGAGTAACTACGACCAGCGTTGCAAATGGAGACACGGCTGCCCCCGACACGGGCTCTCATGCAGGCTCGGGGTTTGTCCCCTCTGCCCACTCCGGCATGAGGCTTAACGCCTATTCCAGCCACCCTGAAGGCCACAAAGCACACTGACAAGCTAAGGCTGTAAGGAGAAATTCTCTAGCCCGGGCAGGCAGATGCCCTGCTGGACCCACCAGGCTGGTTGGCTTCCAAAAGACCGCCTCACCTTGCCAAGAACCAGGACCCAAAGGCCCAAGGCCTAGCACAGCAAGGGGGAGCAGGTCCCCCTCCTGCAGAGCCCCCCCATAGCTTCTCCCTCGCTCCCAGGCTCTTGGGGAGAAGGAAGAGCAGCAACTCAAAAGCACAATATGCAACTGCTCTAGGACCTAGGCTCCTGTTTGCCCCTCAAATCGGACATGTGGCCATAAAGGCCAGGCTGGCTATTTGCCACACTGGTGGTGGAGAACTGGAGAGAGACCTTGGAGGCAGCTGGTGGCCTCCGGACCAGGCTGAAAGGCAAGCAGCAGAAATGCTGCCCACAACAGCTCTGCCACACTGCCTATGGCAGGCCCAGCCCGCGTTGTCAGGGCAGGGGCTCCCCCGTCCCCCACATCCAACACGGGAGTCGAGTGGACAGAGGATACCCCGCAGCCACTCCGAGGAGGAAGATGTCGAGCTGCAAAACAACCCCAGTCAGGCAGCATCAGAGTGAAGCGTGGCTCTTGGCCGAAGTGGTTGCCAGCCAGCTGGCTGCTGCAGCAGAAAGCCCACCAGCCTGCCTGGCTGCCCCCCCAAGTCTCAGAACGGAGACAGGCTTTTCCAGAGACACGACAGCAGATGCTGCGATATAGATGGTTCGTGTTTTCAATGAAAATGTTTTTAATGATTCTATAAATCCTCCTGCAGCGGCCCTACAGATTGAGCCATGGGACAAGGTCAGAAGAAGAGGACCAGAGAACCACACCATACCAGAAGCTCATCACCTCTTTGCCCAACACCTTCCCTGCTGACACTCATTCTCTCATCGAAGCTACTGACCATCATCCATCAGGGCTGAAACACACCAGTGAAAATGAAGCAGGAGCCAGTTGTTGCCCTCACCCATAGGGAAAGTAAAGCTGCTGGTGCCACATGGGACCACCTTGAGCTCATTTCCCTTCACTGCCCTGCCCATTTCACCCCTTTTTAGTAGCAGAGGACGTTCCCTCCTCTCCAGGTCGGGCTGTGTAAGCACAGGGATGCCAAAGCTTCTTGCAGATGTTCCTCCATGCTCTTCCCGCAAACCCTCTCTCATGTCTTCACATCCACTGAGGGACGAGATGAGACAGAAACACTGTAGAGATGCTCCTCTCCTCCCTCCCCGTTCCTCTCTAAACTAATCCCTGCCAAAGCCAGCTTTGCCCAGTGCTCCCAGAGCAGTTCAGGGAGCCAGGGCCTGGCCTGATGCTACAGATGGGAAGGAGTTTCCACCAATATTCCCTCACAACCCCAGCCAGCTGGTAGCTTCAGCAGAAAGCCCACCAGTCTGTCTCACTGTCTCCCATTCTCTTAATTTAGATGTGTTTTTCCAAAGACACGACAACAGATGCTGTGTTATAGATGGTTAGTACTTTCCATTAAAATGTTTTTAATGACTTTATAAATTCTCCTGCAGGAGCCCCATCTGAACTGAGCATCCCCAGGATTTATTCGCTTAATGAGCTCGCAAGGCAGAGCCACGCTGCCACGCTCCGGTTCCTGGGAGGGACTTCTGCAGGTTCCCCAGTCCCCTCTGCAGGGCACTAAAATGCAGGGGGAAAAGCATCATCCCTCAGTTTACCCCGGGAACACACCATGGCAAAACTAGGAATGAAAACTCCCAGCCCCACAAATCCATCCCTGAGCTGCTCCTCTGTCACCCAGACGAGGATCAATCTCGTCAGAGCCGAACCAAAACCTTCAGAAGTGAAAGGCAGGCAGCTCAGACTTCTTCTGCCAGGACATTTCTACAGAGGGGTTACAGGATCAGGTGCTTCAGTGAAACACCAACAGCTGTTCACACCTGCTTACCTCAGAAGTCGCTTCACCACCAAAACCAGACCTCACGTATTGCAGGGACAGCTGCCAGCCGGGGTTAGGCAGCCGCCACCGAAGGCAGCCAGCTGCTGTGATTTCCACCGGGGACGGATCCCTCCCAGCCCACCTGCCTGCCTGCCGTCCCGCTGGAGGACGGGCAGCCCCCCCGAGGGACTGGGGCGGCTGGGGGCGCAGCGAGACGGGGATCCTCTTTCGGGCACACGGCTGAAACTCACGGCAATCCCGCGGGGAGGGGGGCGCGGAAATGGGATTAGCCGAGCGTCCTCCTACCCCGGCCCCCCCAGAGCCGTGCCGAGCCACGGGGCGGCACACGAGGGGACGCGAACCCCCGGGGCGGGACGGCCGCCTCCCCGGTGCCGTCTGCTCCTCGCACCGGCTCCAACACGGGGCTCCGGCAGCAGCGAGGAGGAGGAGGGGGTGACGGCAGAGCCCTTCGGGCAAGGGCAAAGCCGTTTAACCAAAGGTTCGGTGAGACACCCCCGCGGCCGCCCCGTCCGCCGGCCATGGGGTCTGCACCGGCTCCCCTCCCTCCCGGCCCTCCCTCCGGCACCGGCCGGCGGAA